CACTGTGTTAGTATTTGCATGGTTGGTGCAAAAACAATGGCGGGTAAAATGCTAACATCTCAGCAGAAATCATGGCAGTGGCACCAAACTGTATTAGCAGTCATTATGTTCTTTATACCACACATCACAGTTAAAAAAAAAAAAAAAGACAGCTTTACTTAAGAATGTCCTTGATAAAGCAATAAAATGATTCATTTTATCAAAGCTTGATCCCCTAAGTACATTTAAAACTCTTTTGCTGCAGACAGAAGTACAATGACTGTCCCAAGGAAAAACGTTTTGTATGTCTGTTTGAGTTGCATGCTAAACTAGCCACTTTTTCACAGAACACCATTTGTACTTGAAAGAGCGACTTACATACAAGCCATGGTATCTGGCAAACCAATGAACTACGTTTACAAATGAACTGGGGAAGCCTGTTACCTCAAGGAAAACAACAGAAAGTGTATGTTCTCAACCATAAAACTTGGGCTTTCAAGCAAAAAATTAGAATTTTGACAAACTAGATCTGCCATCATGACTTCAGCAGCTTCTCAATACTTACAGACTTTTCTGATGAGATTGGTGGTGACATTAACAAATATGACTTTTTGTTATTGCATAATGAGACATGTCAACATTTGGAAGATCTGTGCAACTCAGTGAAAAAATATTTTCCAAATGATCAATGCGTTTTGTTAAAAAAATGTGCAGGTAAAATTTCCATTAAAAGTGCAAATCACGCCAGTGAATTTTAATATGACAGAGTACAAAGACTTCACTGGATAAGGTTTCAGATTCTACATTGTAATGAATCTTCAAGAAACTACCACCCAGTGAGTTTTGGTGTGGTATAAAAGAATATTCACAACTATGTAATAAGGCAATTAATACACTCCCCTCTTTTCCACCTGTATATCTGTGTGATGCCAAGTTTCAACCCAAACAACAAATCACAGTAGACTGAAGGAGCAGAGATAAGAATTCAACAATCTGCTAGAAGCCAGGCATCAATGTTTTGCAAAAATGCCAAAAACAATACTGCTCTTCTTACTCAGATCTTTTTGTCTGGGAAGATATAGTTACTTTTCATTAAAAAATAATTTTATTTATGTTAGCATATAATGAGTTCATTATTATTATTTAAAAAATAAATTGTTAAAGATTTAGACA